GCGTTGGAACGAAACGACTTCCGTGCTCAATGAGCCCTGTGTCAATGACACCAAAGTCCTTAAGTCTTGCTGGCCCCGACAGCGCTCACGGGCAGAGACCATCTTCATCTCTCGCACACGGTGCCATGCCGGACCGTCTCTCCGCGGTATCAAGGGATGTAAACTCTAGGCACGATGAGCCCGAGCGTCGCCCTCTGCGCACGCTAACGTTGATGAGTGACCTCGTTGGGATGTGGAGGTGGTCGACTACGAGTCTGACACTCCTCATTCCGGACGAAAGGACGAGGAAGGCGAGCCGCACCATTGGCGTAAGACGAGCCCTGCTAGCGCCTTGCGGACCTCATGTCCGTTTCCTGACCTCTTGTCACCTGAGGAACGTGGTGTAATCACCAATGACCTCGATGAGGCACAGAAGCGGCAGCTGGAAGCTGCCCGCAAGATGGCTCTGATGCGCGCCCTTCCACGGTCGGTCATTGACCATCGTGTGGAATATGGCTAACGCCGGTGGATCTCGCTGTGGAAGCGAAGGACGTGGTAACTCGATCGTTACGCCTCCACATCATCAGGCCCCCTGCCATTATGGAAGATAAGCTTGCCGAACGGAAAGCTCTTCGATCTCGTTTCTTGGTTCAGCAAGAATTTCCGCTGGAAGCTTATCGCATTCGTCTGCGTGCTCAACGAGGTAACTCTCGTGTACCTGCAATGCGGACGATACCTGTAGTGCTCGCCCCTGGCTAAAGCGCTACAGATGACGAAGTGCTCTTTGAGCGATGGGTGCAACGGCACCGGATTCATTTCTCACTGTATGCCTTACAGTTGAGCCACAAGGAAGTGGGCGTGCGTGTGAAGCGCCACCTTCGATTTGAGTTTGCCGAACTCAAAGCACGCCGTCGGCTCCCTTCAGAGGGTCGCCCTGCGACGTATGGGTCAACCCCTAACGCTCCCGCGAGTTCTGTGTCTGCGATCGCAAGAGCTCTGGACCACCGCTTGAGCTCAGCCATTGGCGCTTCTCGTTCCCTGGCTATTGCCGGGAAGCACGTGGCGTCTGATGACGCGGGGCGTCCTGATCTTTTTGATCAAAAGCGTCCACGGCATCTGGTCAATCTTGCCGTAGTGGCGTCTCAAACTCCCACGAGGTTTTGGAGTTGGGATATCCCCGCCACTTTATTGGGTTTGACCCTGAGGACGACGTCGTCTCACTAGACGCTCCACGTGATAGTGGACGTCACCGTTCTCATCGAGAAGAGTCGACGGCGGGCGGTGACGACCGGGTCGACCGCCGTCCGGTGACTCGTGATGCTTTTCGAGCCCTTGAGAATGAGATCCTTCGTGATCGGAGCTCCGCTAAGCGTCATGCTGAAGTAGCATTTTACTGTGCGGACGCTCTTGATAATTTGGAGCGCGTCGTGCACCGGCTGCCTCACCTTGAGGACTACCGCGCTCTGTCGGAGAGACTCCTAGCCGTGGAGCAGGCGAATGCGTCGCTGCAGGCAACGGTGGAGCGCTTGGCTCCATTGGAGATGGAGGTTGTTGTACTCCGTGCTCAGAACCAGTTGTCGGTTCAGTTTCCGGGTGACCGAGGGCCCGTGAGATCCGCTCTTGCGCCAACGCTTCCGCGTTCACATGCACCGGATCCCGATACGGCTTGAGCAAACCCATGTAAAACACCGGGTGGTGCACATCCGTTTGGGAATGTTTAGAGTATACGCTAGGCCCCCGCTTGGCCACAACCTTAGACGGTCCAATAAACCGTAGACGAAGCTTCGTCGGGAAGATAGCAGAGGCTGCATCTGTAGGCAGGTTATTAGAGTTTAATAAAGCCAGGTCTCCGACCATAAAGCTTTCCATTTTGCCTCTTTCTTTTTCATCTGCATATTCTCTCTGCGGGTCTTGGCTTTCAGCCATCGCATCACGAATGTGTCGTAGGACACTCAGTTTGGTAGACAGGAAGTCATAGACTTCTTTGCGGATGGCGAGAAGGTTGACATTAGCTAGCCGTTCGGCTACTCTCCCCCACCAAGCCCTGAGCCATGGGATGGCGGCACCAGCGGGACGTGAGGTGAACCAGTTCGTTCACGTAGAACGGCGTGTAACCGGTAGACGAATGCACTGCATTGTTCAACGCAAAATCTACGAGTGGCAACATAGCGTTCCAGCTCCTCGGCGCCTCAGCGAGCCGCTGCGCTTCGATGACGCGATTCACCCTTC